GGAGGTGGCAAGAAGCTCGCCCTGGAGGAGGAGGAGGAGATGGGGGTGGCGGCACACGAGGAGGAGGAGGAGGAGGAGGAAGGAGACCTGGCCCCAAGCCGGACTCCGCACCCCGCAGTCGCCCCAGGCCACCCACGGCCCGGCCCCCGTCCGGTTCCAGGACCAGCCTTGGATCCACTCGAGGAGGAGGAGCTGCTGCTGCTGGGAAAGGCCTCCTCACCAGGAAGAAGCTGGCCCTCGGACAGGGCGCCCCGCCAGCCAAAGGGGTAGCTGCCGGCCTTCCCCTTCCAGGAAAAGGCGTGAAGAGAGCCATCCGGGCCCCGGCCTCTCACGGGATGCCCCAGGGTTCAGCCCTGCCAGGGAAGAGGCCAGGATGCCCCCGGCCAAGCCAGCTTCAGGGACAGGTAAATGCAGCAGGCGGTGAGGAGCTGAGCTCAGAGAAGCGGCTTCTTGGACCACAAGCCTCAGAATGCAGTGAGGGGAAACGTGGTCAAAAAGTGGGTTTCTAAGTATTCGGTTATTCTAGGGGATGAGACCGAAACAGCACAGATACTGGAGAAATCAGCCCGGTTTCATCAGCATCCTCCCTGGTTTTGCATACAAACTCACTTTGTATGACAAAATCACTTTGGAAACACTTAAGTGGAAAAAAAGACACCTTTACTTATAGTAACCATCTGTAGTTACAGTCAGAGGAAAACTGGAGTCTCCACCCTGCAGGAGATGTCTGTAGTTACAGTCAGAGGAAAACTGGAGGCTCCACCCTGCAGGAGACGCTGCATGCTTGCTGCTTGGAGGATAGAGGAAATAGAGAGGCTATAAGCAAAACAAACAGGAAAAGGGGTGAGGACTTGCCTCAAATGCCAAATGTGGAAAAAGAACTTTACCAATCAAGTTAGTGGCAAAGAACATTCCCAGCCGCCTGATGAGATGAAGTGTTAGTGCATGGGATATTGCTTATATTCCCTAGCCACAATGGCCGCTGGCAGTTTGGCACAAAAAAACATTCTAGCATCTCTTAAGACTAACATATTCATTTCAGTGCAAACTTTTCTGAGTGCTGTCAGCTTCTTCAGAGACAAGTAATCAACAAAATGGCTATTCCAAGGTGTAACAGTGAAGGACTGCCAGAAGCTTTCCTTAGCAGCATTTCTCTTGATGTATTCCATACATTTATGATTTACATTCTCAGTTAAATAGTGCTCTTAATTAAACTGTATAACATAAGTTATTTTTAAAAATGACATGTCACTACATAAAGCAAAGTTGTTGTTTGGGGGTGGGGGCATATGTTAGCTGCAATTATGACAGCCACTGTCCTGTAGCACGGGCACTACATATCACGTGGAATGGGTATACGAGCAGAGCATTTGGCAACAGAAAATCCTGTATTTATGTCACCACCAAAGCATATGATAGGGGAGGTGAGTGAGAGAGTTTGTGGCCATATTAGAATGGTTTTATAGTTTACATGTGTAGGACACTTTCTTAAAACATCTGGCAGATGAAGTAACTGGATGCATCTTCTTACCCCTGAGGTTTATGTATAATTCTTTATGTACCTTACAGAAACAACTGCCTGATGAGATGAAGAAGTGCCTGACAAAACTGCCTTGCTACAAGGGCACCTCTGTAGCCATTCAGGCACCCCCTAACCTTACTAGAGGAGGCGTAGCTGGTGGTACCTTGGCTTACGTTGGTCTGGGGCGCAACGCATCCTGTGCAGAAAATGAGATGCCCGGACCAAAGCTCCCAGTTCGTATCGGTGAGTGGGCTTGGTTCGTGGGTGATTACGGGCTGCACAGTGGGTTGAATTCTGTGACCTCTGAGGTAATAAGAACCAGATTGTTCATCTCTGCAAAAACTGGAGTTTGTCAGCAGCATATTTTTGGAAAATGTAACTTGTGCATTCACAGTATAGGTTTAGAAGTCAAGTTGACAGCAGATGACAATTGCTGTTCATAAGATATCCCTTTCAACTGCAATAATGAATGCTCACTCTACCTCCTTAAAGTGGGAGCTGGTTTCAGAATAAAGCCATAAATGAAGCAAGTTTAGAGAATGAATGGTTTTAGCCAACACACTGAAAGCGTACATGCTTTTCAATGCTACTGTTTGGTTCTATTTTGAGGGGCTGCTGCGTGAATTCAGAGGCAGGTTGTGAGATTCCCCATGCCCATTGAAGGAGGCTGTGGGATTAGTAGGAAACACAGCACTTTATTCCTGATCTGTGCCCAACAGGCCAGTTGGCTTCCCCTTCCAAAACCCCACTCTCCCTCAGATCTAAGAGTTACACAGCAGGGCGGTTAAAGCTCACCTACTGTCTTCTCAATCCCGGTTTCCTGGTTGATTCTCTTCAGTCCCAGCCCCTTATTTCTTGTCACAGCCAACAGCCTCCCACCTACACAGTGTCTTCGTGTGGGCCTTTTCCAACCCGCTGAAGATTTGGTCATGCTCTGTTCA